ATTAGATTTTATCAATTATATACATTATGAATAACCGATTCAATTTTATACACTCAAATATACACATATTAGAGTCTCAGTAATATATAGGTTTCTTATGCATTTTTTCTCAGCAAAAAAATACTAAATAAAGAAGGGGTCCACTGGGCTCCAATCTTTTACTGTTGCCAATTATTGTATATGCATGTTTATTTTTCTAGAAAAAATCACAATGATCGCTTTCGCCAAGTAAAATAATTTTGGTAATACATATACAAGTTAATAAAACAAAAGCAAACAATAAAAAAAAGTCAAACTACGATTGCACTACATCCAATTGTATGAGCCATGCTGATTGTTTTTTTAGTAACGAGTGTTTGAAAACCAAAGGTTACAACAAATTATAGTTGAGGACGGACAAAATTATCACTTATTATTATCACTTAGTTTTTTTGGGGTCCACCACGGATCGCAAATGCTAGATTTGTAATATGCAGATATACTCGTGTCAGGCTCATCGACCTTAAAGATATCATCAAACGTATGACGCCCGATCTCTAGATTATTTATTAAATTACTAGTTTCTCTATACATTTCCTATGTAAATAGTTAGATACGTGAGCATTTCTGATGAGAAAAGAAAAAAAAAATAATAGATCATACCATGATATATTTGGTAACTTTTACGGTTGACTTTAGCTTTTCGATCTGGGCAAGCTTGGTGGGCAACTGAAATTTTGGCCCCGGAAAAATTATATAGAACCCGTTCATCAAAACTTCTATCAACATCTGACCATTAATCCCGGCGAACTGTATAAAAGGCACTTTTACTAATTTTATCTGTTCATCTTTCCAGTCGAGCATCAGTAGACCATTTAAAATTGATTGGTTGATACGGCCAGAATGACATCGATCAGAAATTGTCTTATCAGTAGTGGCACGCACGGAAAACTCCCACTCTCCTAGATCCATTCCCGATGAGGACAAGAAACGCACATCACATTTTCTACCTTTAGTATAACTTGTGGATTTGCTTAGGGGGCAGAATGATTCGCCCCTAATACACAAAGATGAAAATTATAAGATAATTGGGACACAAAGCTGAAAAGATATGTTAACTTGCCATTTTTGATATATCCCAAGATCTTTGTTCAACCCG